AAAATGTCTCCTGAAGACCATTGTGTCTCCTAGTCCCTCTCGTCCTCACACATGTGGCATAACAAACAACCAAAATACATTCAAGAACATTTATTATATAATTACAATTATTTTAGCATATACTAACTAAACTGGGAAGTATTTTTTCTATGAAATATCAAGGATCAATATTATTGTTGTTCGGGTTGTTCCCTATGTCAACTATATCTTGTATTGTTTATAACATAATAGGTACCTACTCTTATTTAATTCGAATATTATATTGTTTTAAAATAATTAAGCTTAACTGGTAATCCTCTACAGCATATTTTAATATATTATACATATTTAATTAGAAAAAGACTGGCGTTTAAAGATAAAAGTTATAAATTTGTTTTGTAAAAACTTCCTAATATATCTTTATAACTAACGGATAGGTACCGGATAACTGCGGGATAAGTTACCAACTCTATTTTAGATTTTGAGTAGAGTATCACATTTTTAGTTTAGCAATGATGTTTTTTTTAAATTATTATTTTTGTTTTGGTTGTATCTGTTGTATCACATTTGGGAGCAGAAAAAGTGCTTCAATTTTTCAATATTGAGGTTTAATCTAATTTATACTGTGTAAAGATAAACTGTCTTGAACATTTGAAAAATAGATAACAATTAGTAATAATTAGAAAAAATTATTAGTAATAATAGAAACTATCAGATACGTTTTAAAGTATTTACAAATTAGAAAAAATTTATTAAAATTAAATAAATAATAGTTATAACAGCAGATCGCATGGGTGTCCACGCTTGAGTCGGCACGTTTGATAAAATACATGGTTGTTAGTAAAAAAGCTTGGAAATTTGACAAAAAATTCCTTATGATAGATTTTTTACTGGAAATTTGAAGTGGGCCGATTATGGAGACGACCTTCTTCGTTCATCAAATCCGTTTTTTTTATTGACTATTATAAATCGAATTCTCATTCAACTTAAATTTAACACATTTATAACAGTTACACTGTATTTAACACGACATTAACTACTTATAGTGAGACTCTATCGATACTTTTTTTTTGTTATTGAGAAAATGTGTATTGGCCATTGGGTATAGGTACATATTATAAAACTAGGTTAACAGGTCAATAATAATAATAATAGAGTAGAGTATACAGTTATTGGCACTTTAAGCATATACTCATTTTAAAAGAATAATGGAATATAAAATAATTATGATACATTAACTAAAAATACATGTTTGTATATCCCAATTCCCAAATATTTCTATATTTAATTTACTTTAGGGGTAAAATTGATATAAAATACTGTCATTATTTTGATATAAAATGGGTATTTTATCAAATGTCTTAAACCACAATTATTGACATATTGTTTTTGTTATAGGCAGCCAAGTACCTTTATTTAGTTATTGGCACCTACTATAGTACCTACCTATTTGTTTAAAAAATTCCAAAATAGGTATCTTCCTATAAAATAAATTTATTTCAACAAGATAAAGTACAATTAAAAAAAAATAATATATAATGTTATTATATTATTATTTTTAATTGAATTCTATAGTTAGTTGTGTTAACACAATTTCAAATCAACTAGGTGTCTATTACCTAATTAATATTTTATAAGAAACATTTTGAGCAACATAGTAGTATTGCAGTTATCTATAAGATATAAAAATGAATAAACATAAAACAGCAATAAATATTTATTTTATTTTTTTAGAAGCAATCTTATCTAATTA